AACTAGGGTGGCAGAGTGTAGAAAGCAATCAAATCTGAGTGAAAAGCTAAGATGATTTCCAAACTTTCATCTATTATTTAATGACTTGCTGGCCAGGCCATGCAAACTTAACAAGAAAATAACTGCACTGCCCAAGTAGCTCACAGAAATTAATTCCATCACTCTTTATCCTTGCTGGAAACCACCATGGCCACTCAAACCAAACCAAAAATACTAGAAACAACAACAAAAAGACATCCTTTAAAGAGCAACAAAGATTTAGTTTTATCTTAAAAAAAAAAAAATACCAGGAGGAGGAGATACTTATTTAATGTGAGGTCACTTTGTTTGCTATTTTATTTCACCTAAAATGTGTGTCAGATGTGATTAAACGCAGTGTAAGAATGTATCTAGCCATCTTTATGCCTAGAAGCCCTATGCAATATCATTTAAAATAGCCCAGAAAGAGATGGATGTGTTTCAAAGTTTAAAAAAAAAGTTTAAAAATACCCACAATGCTGCAGACCACATATGTACAGCAAGAAAAACAAACATGTGATCTCTGGAGGTATATTTTGATGACAGATGCCAGTTCTCTGTGGTCAGATTTCGCTCTGATTCCGTTCAGGTATGTGATCTAGGAAGTAGTAAAAAAGGTAGAAGTTTAAAAAAGAAAATACAATCAAGGTGGGGAGGAGGGGATTGTCAAAGGAGAAAAGGACCACATGCCTGCTTTCTGTGACTGCTTCTTGACTGGAAGCTTTTTTTTTTGGAGTATTTCATTAACAAGGAAAATACACATCGGTCCGTGTGTGTACTTGCCAGATGTCACAGCTGAATCTTAGCATAAATATCTCTATTAGCTGGTGAGCTCCTAGAACTATTGTCCCTAAAACAAGGGACACAAATGCTGGTTTATAGACCACAAGGCTTCAGCATCTCATTGTATTACACAGAGCACTTAGACATCCCAGTTTGAACATTTATGTGTTAATAAATTGTAGCGGAGATGACATGAAGTACAGAGCATGGTGTTTTGAGTTGTGTAAATGCACGTAGATGTGAGATAACATAACTGTCAAGTTGAGCCCCTTTTAGAAGAACCCAGATGTTGTCAGCGCTTGTATTACGCTGTATTCGGCATATTGCACAGCTGGGTATTTCATGAGATATAGTGCTGAAGATTTGTTATGAAATTGTGTTGTACATTTGGCGTAACATAGAATTAATCTCTTCCACCATTGTATGTATCCATAAATTCACTTAGTAATTGTAATCTTTTCTTTTATTAAGTCATTCCACACACAATAAATTGCTGGAAATAGCATCAACATGACAGTTCACCACACGTTTTACCCTTCTTTCCTGCAGAAGTGTTGATTAACTAGGTCCTTACAAGAATTAGTGTCTGCTGATGTCTGTGCCAGCTTTGGGATCAGAAGTAGCATAGTTTTATTGCCATGGTGTTGTGCCCGTATTGGAGCAGGGGTTTGCCACCCAGGCTGCTGTCACCGCATGCTGTTGCTTTCTGCTTGGGGATGTGCCAGATCAGGTCAGCACAAGGTTAGGTGTTTGGCAGTTTGATGCTACAGTCATACCTATACTACTGAAGCTGCTTAAAATAGTGTCATTGAGCCCCAGCAAAGGACATCCAGCATGTAACAGTTACTACATGCCCTAAAGTGCCAAGGTGATCCTCCATATCTCTATATCATCTCTACTAATTCAAAGGCTTGTCTGACTTGGGGGTTTGCAGTAGGGTCCCTCTTTGTAAAGCGGTCCTTGGGGATGGTGAGCTGGCTGGACATAAAGACCAATCTTTCCTACTTTGTCTATTCCAATGTTGCAAATATAGCCTGAGGACAAAGTAACGTGCTCAGCCGAGCAGTGGGGAGCTCTGTGCCTAGAGCATGTTAATGCACCATGGGTCTGTTAATTCATCCACAGGAGGACTGGATTTAAAGAAGATAATTCTCACTTCATCACCTATTTTTGACATTTCAGTGTTTTCTATTATGTATTGTTTAAAAAGGTCTGAAAAGATTCTGTGGTTAGAAAGCACCCTTTTTCGGGGATACCCACATCTGCAGAGGAGACGCTCTGAAGTGCAAGCAGCACAGACAGCTCTTGCGGCAGCAGATTTCACACTGGGCTGAAGCATCACAGAGGAGAATCCACATGCTGTTTTTGATATTCATTAATCATCCAGCTAATTTGTTTTTACACGGGAGCGCTGACAGCAAACGAATGTTATTATAGCTACAGCGCACTGCATAATCCAGACTATTATGGTATTAGCATTGATGAAAACGACTGCTCTGTGTTCGCTTATGCTCAATTCTGTATCTGACTGCAATTGTAAATATATCTATTTTTATTCACATCTGCTGAAAGAAATAACCCTACCATATGTGGCCATAAGGATAAAAGGATTGCTGCTGTCTCTTTTCTTCTCCTCCCTCCAGTCCTTATCTCAGGAACATGAGTTGAAATCTGGCCCAGGATTTACTAACTGTTCAGAGACTTTTTATGAGGCATTTCTTTCTCAGGCTGATATCGAGAGTGTGTGTGTGTACAGATATGTAGGTATAAAGTACACATATGTACACATGTATTATGCCTAAGGTAACTTCCCCAGTAAATCTCTTTTGTTTCTGTATACAGTATGCATAGGCAATATTCACATAAGAGAAAATAATCCAGTGGTTAACGTTAACTTAGGATTTGAGACTGGGTTTTAATTCTTTCCTCTGCCACATTTGCTATATATATGTATATATGTTTGTGTGTGTGTATATATATATCATGGAAAAGTCGCATAGGTCATTGTCTGCACTGTCCTTCAAATGTAGACCTGAACTTGCACTAGAGTCCAAATCTCTATCACATTTGCACTTTATGGACAGGAGTCCACATTCAGCAAAGGGTTTAGGTGAGCTTTGACCCACAGTGACAGGGAGAGGCTTGGACTATGTCTTTCAGGACAAACCCAAACACGCTCAGCAGTTCCTTAATGTCCAGCCACAGGTGAGCTATGATCAATTTGGATACTACCCTCTGCTTGGTTATGCAGGGATGTCATGGGAGTGACGCTGGGTAGATGGTGTGAAGAGGAAAAGGAGGGGATCCCCTCTTCCCAGAAGAAGGGCTCTTATGTGATGGTAAGCCCTGTCAGAAGACCCTTAAGAAAAGCTAGCTAACTAAATTTTCCCCTCCCACTCTGCCTTTCCCTGGTCCCTCCCTTGTCTCCTTTATAGACCCCCAGACTCAGGTCACATTTTGTGTCGAACTGCTTTGCCCCAACCTATACCAATCAAAAGCCCTGTGTGCTCTGGAGGCTTTTGCGTTACTAACAGATCATCTTTGGGTCAGACAGTGGAGGAGGAATCTAATTGCTGCAGACGAGGGAGACGGGGATTGTGTTGATTATCCAGGAGGGCCATGTTAGCACACTGTCAGCAGTTGCTCATATGTTGTCACACTGAATAATGGGCTTGCTTATATTCACCACCATGTGATTTTAAAATATTTAAAGCTTAACCATAAGGATTATTTTGGAACAGATAGGCACCTGGCTGTTCACAACATGGCAACTCCTTGCTCTCCCTTGTTCTGTGTAATGCACTCAAAAAAACTAAGTGCACCAATAAAGTGAAGCTTTTCAGGAGTTTAGTGGCTGCAAAATTATTAATCCTTGTTTCAAATACATGATTGTGTCGTGCTATTACTGATAATACAGTACAAAAAAATCACAACAATAAAATTAAAAAAATGGAAAGCCAATTCTTGCAATGGTTTCAGGAGCCATACACATGGCCTTGATTATACTGGGATTTTAACCATTTGGGTAGCTACAAATTTATAAGAGAGTCCTGTTTTACATGGCTGCAGAATGATTTACAAGAGTTCGTTTTAGCCTCTCATCAAACAAGGGCTAAGTACACTATAAAATGGACCAAAACCCAAAATCCATCTTCAGTCTGTTTTAAGGAAGACCTGAAAAGATATGAGAGCAAATCATAAATACATTGACACCCAGTTCTACCTGGAAAACTTAATGGGCATGGAAAATGAATTGCCCCTTCTCGTATCTGTTTATCTTCCATTATTTGTGGTCTCTCACACAGTAGGAAAGTTGTGGTTCCCCTGATTTGCTCACTCATTCTGTTATTAGAGGAGATCTTGGCCTGCACCATAGGGAGCCATTTTTCTGTCCTCACTCTTTAGCCAGTGCTGGGATCCCCGTTCATCAAAACAGTTTGTCAGAAAGTTAAAACATGTCTATGCTTCTTCCTTCCCATTTTCTGTTGTTCAAATACTGACAGCCAAAAATGTGTTCGTATGCTTTATGCATGAGGAAAGGTGACTATTGATGTTAGCAAATGTGTGGTCATTTTTTTTTTTTCTTGTCAAAAATCAGTCTCTTGAATCACTGATGCCTTTTGAAATTACAGTCTAATGTAACCAACCAGAGTATACTGTAACCAATTTCTTTACTTTTTAAGAAAATTGTTCTCCTGGAGGTTGAAACACAAAACCAAGAAATATATGAAGTTATTTTTGTCCCTAGTCGGGGGAAATTAATGAAATAGCACCTCCCATTCTGTTGACATTGGCCAAGGTTGCTGAAGTCCTTAGTAATATTGGGGTTCCCGTTATGGGGAATGCTGTAATCACAGGAAGGTTTCAGAATATTATACTGGTGGGAATGTCCATGTAAATGCCAATACAGCCAAGTTCCTAAGCTCATGCTTAACTTTAAGCAAATAATCAGTTGGAGGCAATAGTTTCAGAACTATGAAGAAGTATACGCTTACATGCTCAGTTGAGTGCTCTAATGAAAAATATGCGCACTGAAGATCTGTTTTGAAACACTAACAACCAACAATAATTATTGATAGGGAAAAGACGTCATAAATGTTTAAGGATATGAATCCACATTTAAATTTTTTTATAATTAGCTTAATTATTTTTAAGAATTGTGGTATTTTCAACCTAGGTTTTCAGCTTGCAGTGTTTTCCAATTAAAACAGAAGTATCTAAACCAAATTAATAGAAGTCATTTTTCCCTTTCAACTTTAGTCTTAAAATTTTGCTCAGTATTTTTGAACAACTTACCTGTGCTTTCAACTTCTTGAGACTAACTGTCTAGCTCCTTTGGTATATCAAATATTGTATTGCCACCTCTGTGATGAATTTGTGATAGAAATGGCACAGGGAGGACAAATATACACAGTTAAATAAGGAACCGTAGTAGGAGGGAAATATATTGTTCTTGGCTAAACAAACCATTAGTCAACATCAGTTTAGATAATCTTAAAATACAGATTTCTCTTTGCACAGGTTAGTTTGCTACAGTTCTTGCTGGAGTTCAGTGTTCTTCAACACACTTAAGCTGCTGATTTTGTACTATATCAAAAAGTCTATGCCAAATAATTTGTACATTCAATAATAATAGCTATACATATTAAAAGAGTTAGCTTGAGAATTTAAATATGTAAACTGGGAATTTCTTAACTAAACAAAGCTTTGTTAAAAAAAAGTTTAAGCTTTAATTGGCATTCAATATGGTTTGTTGTAAAAAAACGTATTTAATTGACCATATAAGCGTGTAGTTATATGTCTTGATATAATTGATTTGAAGGTGGTATTCTCTTTTTTTAAAGAATAGCTATTATATGAAGTTTTATTTGGCCTCCAAAAATACAGTTTCCTTAGAGTAATTCCAGTATAATTTTTTTCTTTTAATCTCTGTTTATATAAAGCATACCTGATGAAGAGCTAGTTTAATAGTCATCAGATGAGAACTAATTCCAGTCCAGTTTCCATTGCCTTTACCATGAATTAACTCCCATCCATTACAGTGGAGTGGCTCTTGACAAGCGTTGCTGAGAGCAGGAGGACGACTGGGACTGGCAGACTAGATAGTTGGAACGAATCCAGCCACTTTCCAGCATCCCAGCAATTGGGAAGCTGGCTGAGGTCCCACCCCAAGGAGCCCTGCGCAGGAGAGTGATGGGGTGTTGCAGGAACCCCTTCTCCCTGTCTGTGCTTGGCACGGAGAGCTAGCCCAAGGTGTCTCCCTGCTCTTGCGATCCTCAGATGCCTGGAATTTGGATTACAAACACCCTTCCTTGTTTCCAACCTTACTTCTGTCTGGAACCAAAGTCTCCAAAATCAAAACAGTTGAACAATTGCCTTTATCTTGGACTTAGAATAGTGGTCACGCTGAGGACTAGCTACAAGCGAGTGAGCCGCAGTATTTGTCCTGTTTTGTCGTCTTCTCTCTTTGGTTCCTTTCTATCAAGAGTGCAGTGTTTGACAAAGTTGCAATGGTGCATGTACATGTACAGCACCGTGCTTCCAAACTGTAACCAGGCAGATGGTTCTCATCTTGCTCCGCAAGTCCTAAAACCAGAGTAACTCCTGGGGGCTTAATGGGGTGTGAAGAACTCCAAAAGCATAGCAGGATGAGGCCCAGCAACAAGGGAAAGCTTTACTCAATACTAAAAGAGAAAGAAAGAAAAACAAACAAATTACTATAGTGTTGTGTAGTTCCTTCTCCTCTTCAGAGAAAGACCTCCATAAACATTTCCCTTCTAATCTTCCTGATAGCCAGTGTAGCGAATTGTCAGCAGAGGTATGAAACCCGAAACCCAGTCCATGAGCATGTGGTTAGAAGCAGACCTTGGCGGAGGACCCCTTCTCTTTCATATCCCTTCCCTGCGTGCCCTCCCTCTCTTCCCCCCACCCTCCCGCATCCCTTTCCCTTCCACACATTGTATGGTTTCCAAGATTTCTCATGGAAATACCCCATGGCTTGTTTTCCATTGCAGGTTAATACCGGATTTAAGGCTGTTATTTTCTTTTTCCTGACATGTCGCCCATCACGTCAGGATTATTTGAGTTTTCTTTTGAAGAGTTACCTGAGGTGAAGTCTAATTGGACTTGAGGCTGCTGAGGAAGGATGCCAGGGCTCGGGAGGGCTGCCAGCCGCTGATGTGGCTCACGCACAGACAGCAGTCACAGAACGGGCTCGATTTCATGCCGTGATTTAAGATACCGTCTGTAAGGGTATACTGATGATAAAGCTTCAGGGCCTGTTAAAGAGCTGAAAGCAGGAATAGTGCCACTTCAATGCAGAGAGACCAATGAGTATTTAATATGATATTTAAGGGCATAATAGCTATATATCAGATGACAGAATGCAACAAAGGAGAAGTTTAATGGCTGCTGTAGCCCAGTTAGAGTTTCCATGCTTTCGCTTGCTTGTTTTAGGAATCCGGAGGTAGCTAACAGATACTGTAAAGCCTAGCCATTAATAGATAAATAAAATTGTGTGTTATAAATCAAAGACCTTCTTCTGCAGGATAGTGCTGGCTAGATTCTGCCACCCATGCTTGCACAAAACGTGTCTCGGGGATCATGGTACTAATCTCGCCTTTGCATTACGGCTCTCACTGACATTAATTTTTCATACAAACGAGTGCTACTCAATGAATAAACTGGTGAGGAGGGTTTGAAAGGGCTTGAAGGACTAGGTGGTCATTTTATGTTAATGCATTTAGTAATAGCTGAATAAAAGGTAGCAGCAGGACACTGAGCAGCTCTGGTAAAACTCCATTGGTTTCACTCCACTTTGTTTTCCCTTCAGTTTATATCAGCTTTCATCATCTGACTCTAGCTAAGACCTGGCTGGTGTTGATAATGAATAAAAAGTCCACTCCAGAGATATGGTTCTTCCAGACTCAATTGTCTTATAATGCTGATGGAGAAACAACCTTATTTACTTTCTTATCTTCTTCTTTACCTGTTACCTTTCTGAAATAGCCGGATAAAAGCACAAGGGAAAGAAAAGAACTCAAAAGCCACCACAACTCACTTTCTGGACTTCAAGCACACCATTAAGTGCACATTAACAGTACTATTAGTGACACATGCATTTTGTCTGTCTTGGGATTTCAGAGCTCAAAAGCTTGCTAAATGTCCAAGTCCATTTATTTTCATGACATGTCTTAAATAGAAACATTTTATCAGCAGCTAAATAGGATGATGTGGGGGCTAGGAGAGGGTGGGCAGAGATGTTCATGAAGAAAACATCTTTTGCCATAGAAAGGAAAATTTCTTGCGGTCTCGTGGAATGGCTGTTGTGACTATTGTCATCATACCCAAAAGAATAATGCATCTTCTCACGTTTTCTTTTTCTTCACACTCATTTTTTTTCTAATGAATTTGAGCTGCCCCCTTTTTACAGCTTACTTTCGGAGGAAGATACCAAAAATTAGTGTCTAAGTTGTGCTTATATCTAAGGCTGCCTTTATATAAAACCTGTCTGCAGTTAAATTTCACATGTATTATCAGTGGATAGGTCACAGGTATAGAAAAGTGTAAATGTGGGCCCAGCGTTGCGCATGGGGACTACATTCATTGGCATAGAAACCAATTAACTTTGGAGCTGAATTTTTTTTAATTATGAAAATCTGAAAAAAGAACTTGAAACTTAGTGGAAGAAGAAAAGAAAGGAGAAACAAAATGCTGAAACTAGTTTAATTTTCTTCTCTCCTGACTTTTCTTTTCCTTTTAAACAAAATCTAGAAAACGTTTTGGTGTGGTCTGTGGGATTGTTCCCTCAGAGATGATTAAAAACAAATCCCATCGGCTGCTAGGCCATTTCGATATGATCATGTTTTTCCATCTAATTTTATCAACCCAAATGATGACTTAACTGGGGAATGAGCGCCAGTTGACCAAGTCTCCCAAAGCATTTTCCTATCCAAAGGTGGTAAAGGCTCCCTTAATGAAATCTGACTTTCCATTTATGAAAATGTCCAGCACACATGTTCATGCACACACACGTGCATATATAGGGGAGAGAAACTAAAACCTTTATTTACCATTTCTGTACAATCAGATGTTTTAGAGATTAAAAGTAGAAGGGGGAGAGAGGAGGAGGGGAAAGTCACATGGGACAGAAGAAAAAATGAAAGCCAAGTTTTCTATCTCTTCCTACTTTTGGGGTTTTTTTTGGTTTCCAACCCCATGTTGTGACTTTGACAAATGATGATGCGTAGAGAAAATTTATGTCAGGTCTCGGAGCATTAGCACATTATCACGAGCAAAACAGAGCCCTTGGTTGACATCATTGGGGACCCATTGAAAAATTCTTTGAAAGTGATAAATGGGCCAAAGCCCATCTCAGAAAGAGCTGTGGTGCTGTCATTCTGGATCAAGTCTGGGTAAATGCCCAGAGAGAGCCAGGTGAAGACACTGAGCATTAGATGAGAAATGGTTAGTAAAAACCCATTCTGGAAAGGAAAGAGGAACCTTGCTGCTCTCAAGGGACTGGCGTGTTGAATGATTTAATAGCTACCTTTAGGAAATGCCTTTTGCTTTATTGCTTGCTTTTTTTTTTTTCTTTTTAAGGAAAAGAAATACAATGCAGTCTCTTCCCCTCATTTTCACCTCAGTATCCCAGCTCAGCAGTCCTGCAAAGCCACAGCTTGAGATCTGTCATCTTTGCAAAAGACTCTCAAACTGCCTGCAGATGGTCTTACTGATTAAAACATTCTGAACTGACTAGTTGTTAAAAAAAAAAAAAATCAAACTAAACGTATATGTATTTGCTATAAACGCAAAAGAATTTCTGCAGTTCACTACAGAGGGTTGCCCCTTCTGTTAACTTCATTCTGAAGTAATTTCAAACGCAGCTCAAGAGCAGGGCTCTAGCTCCCAGCATTAAGCTGTGCAGACTTTCCAGAGAGGTGTCAGAAAACACATGGAAAACTGGTGGGATTTTCAGAACTAGCTGAGGTATTGGCCCATTTCTCTTCATTCTGTTTCAATGCCAAAACTTCTTTAAAAATACTTCTCATTCACCCCCACAAGAAACCATGCAAAACTTAAAATGCAGGTACGCTGAGTTGCTGATTATATGTGTTGTGCTTCTGGAATTACATGCTGGATTTCTAGTGCTTTACTAGAATTAAAATTGTCTCAAATTTTGGGAATGCGCGTCAGCATTTCAGTTCTGTGCTCTTACCCTGCAGTTTACTTCGTGATTCAAAAAAAAGGCAAGGAATTTGACGGTCTGTATTTTAATTCTGGTTCATCTGTGGCTGAACTCTCAAAATCTTTCATTTTCTGGATTTCTGAATTTGGGCCCTGAAATTTCAAGGAAGGAGCAAGATTTCAGAATAATTTAACATCAAATCACCAATGTAGAGAAAGTTGCTAGTTTCAAAGGATTTTTAGGGACGTGTGTATCTTTGTGAGATCAACGTATGCTTTAAAGGCCACAATAGTCTCGCATAAGATATTAAGAGACTGTAAGGTACAGCATGCCTATGAGATTAACACACACAAAAACTTTGTACAGGTAGGCCAAGTGAATAGAAACTGTAGAAATTTTTAATGTAGTCCCTAAAAATTGGATTCATTACATTTGTCTCACTGGAATCTCGATTTACTCCAGAGATAGCTAAACAGTGGTAATAAATGTGGCACAGTTGAAAAAGTCAATCACTTATTTCTTATCTACATCAGCCTAAATAATCTGTGCCTCTTGGAACATCACAACTTAGCCAGAAATCTCAATGAATCTGAAATTAGCCGAAAATGTCCAGAGTTTAAAGGGGGAAAACCAATACAAGTAGATTCTTTATAATTCAAAAACGTGCTGTGCATCTATGTTTGGAATAAAAGGGCTACTGAACGAAAAAAGACTCAGTGATTCTAGTTCCATACACAAACTACAAAAATTAAACACGTGTTGTAAATAATGAACAGTAAGCACAAAGATTTCAGTCCTATGCTGGAATTTTTAAAGAGTGTGTGTAGACAAAGCAAACATTTTTGAATAAATGACTTGTATCTTTTCAGCGCTGTTTCAAGTACAGCGTGTCAAGATGATTGATGATATCAGCCTTTAGCAACTTCATGACAAATTAGTGATTTTGACATATGTTTGATGCTCTAAGCGTTTTTCACATGAAAGTAAGAAGACTTGCTTTCAGGTGCTGCTTTTGCTCGGGAGTTTACAAGTGAGTCTGGGAATTCAGTTATCTGGAGGACAGCAGCATTTCTGGAAATATCATTAGAGCATTCAACAATTAGTGTTTTCCCAGTACTACCATCTTATTATGTCTAAAGAGATACAACTTAAATGCAGGAGGAATGTCATTACAAAAATAAGGGAATTTGCTATTAGGTTAAAAAGGGATAGAGAGTAAAACCACAGTTTTACTTTCCCAGGCAAATGTCTTTCCTTCAGGAAATAGCCTTTTATTTATTTATTTAATTTACTTTTGCTAATTGTTTGGTCCTGCCATTTTATAATCTACTGAGTTTGTACCTTATTGGCATTCTACAAGCAAGCAAACCTGCATCATCATATCAGGTCAGTTGTCTTCAAACAAAAGAAAAATATGAAATGTGGATCTTCTGTGCAGGAGCAAAACCATGTTACAAATCCAATCTCCAGGAAACAGTAAGAATCCTAATTTTGCCAGCTCCCTCGGTTTAAGTGCAACCTCACCATCACAACAGCAGGCCAGAGAATTAAACAAGACTTGTAAAGTCATGATCCCTTCCTTTTAGCTTAGTATCCAGATTCCCTGTGCTGATGTGTTAGACACTGCTAAGCACGTGTGGCAGAATCAGAGCCAATATTTTATCAGGGATAGGAGAGTGGAAAAAGGGCATTTTCCACAAATAACGCTACTCGGTGTTGCAGCTAGCTCTACGCTGAGATATCAGACCATGCTTGCACTCTTCCCTCCTTGGACAAAAACAAACCAGTGTTTTGAGAGAGTACCGTTGTAATTGTGGGCAGTTATATGGAGGGGAAAAATAATGTGGTTTGTCATCAATCTCTCGGTGTGGCACACAAGGGCTGACTTGTTGAAATTTTGTAGGCTGTATTTACAGAGAAAACATAGACCTGGTGCTGTGCAGGGCCCTATCAGTCCCAAGGTCTGGAAGAATCATATCGGAGAAAAAGGGAAGGCTTGAATCGTAACCTTTCAGGATAATCTAATCCATAAGGGAACCAAAATTACTCTGCTCCTGTGAGCAAGATCAAAACCTGAAGAATTTAATTATTGAGGACTTATTTCTGAATATATACATAGAGTGGTTCAGGGCAAGAGCTGGCAAATAGCAGCAATTACTGCCTCTAACTCTTGGTGCTCTTTTTTGTAGCCACAGACAATGGGGAAATTTGGGAGCGGATGCTTCCACCCTTGAAAAACGCTATGCTGCAGTAAAAGGAGATGTTGTGTTGTGGCAGAGAGGCAATGTTAGTGAAAGGTGTAATATAGTGCTAACCTGAGAGACAAGATTCAGAGACTGTGCTGGAATGCAGCCTAAGGCACATTTTGCTTCAGGGTTATCTGGTGTCTAGCTTTCTTCAAGGTAGTGTCCTTTATTGTCACTTCTACCTTTTAAAATTACCTTCTAGGCATGGTAAAATGATGAATTTTTTTAATTTAGTGGCTGAACTGTAAAAGTACAGCACCAAATGTGTAGAATTTAGAGGGTTTTTTGCTAGAAACTATTCACTGTATTTGGCTCAAATTCATCAAAATATTGTCATCCTTCTTCCCTTTCCCCTCCTCACCAAAAAAATTTTTTTTCCATTTCTTATAACGGTGTTAGTATGAAGAAAAAAAATAATCCGGCTCCAGCATGTGGAAGATTCTATAGCATAAAAGTTTGTAAAAAAAAAACCTCATAGCAAGGCACAGTGCCTGCACTTTAGCTATTCAAGACAGAGCTGTCATGTCTAGCACTATGCTGACAGATCAAAAGCAGAAACACATGAGAGATGGGATTCTCCTGACTTCATTTTCGCCCTGTAAAAGTTAAGCATCTCCTCTGTATCTGTAGGAACGATCTGCAGTCAATGGAGAATGGAGCTAGGCAGCTTGGGAGGATGAGTCATGCCTTACAGCATGATATGAGATTATAACCCTGAAACAAAACGTGCCTTAGACTGAAGGGTTCATAGTTCCTTCCCAGGGATGAATTGCACCTACATCATTGTACCAAAAATATCCCCAGCCTAGCCTCCCCTTGAACAAAATCTGTTTGCAACTCATACCATATATTTTCTTTTTCTTTTTCTCTTTTAACCTTGTTATTCTGTGAAATTATGAATGCTGTATGAAAGGTAAAACCCTTCCAAAGCAGTAAAGGACCTCATTCTGCAATCTGACTATTTTTCTCTTTCACTTAAATAAATTTGCAGGAGATTTCAAAATAAAACTGAATCTACTTTTATTAATATTGCCAAATGAGTCACTCACATACATAGCTCTAATACATAAAAGGAGCATTTTCTTTTACTTCCATAAAAATATCCAGAGGGCAATGGCAGTGGGAGTAAATTGAGAAGACCAAAGTTAAACAAAACCAGTCTCGTACATTTTCTGCAGCTTCATTGTCTGCTTTGTATCTTGCAAGGAAAAATGTGTAGGTTTGTACTGTAAAAGTCCTAGAGATGAAGAAATTATCATAAAAACCCAATGGTTGTTTTAACTAGCTCGCTACATATGCATGAATATATAAGTTTAATTTTCACATTTTATCTTGTTAAGACCACGGTAGGTAGTTGGTGGGTGCTTGTAATGCCACCCTAAATGATGCGAAATTTGCCAACTTTCAGTTTTTGTTATAAGTCCAAATCCAGGACAGATTTATGGAGTTTTATTACTGAAACTGATAGGTTCATATATCTTGAGCTGACATGCCTGGAGTCTATAAAATACCAGGCAATAACTGACTGACCAATCAGTCTAGAGTCTATAAATATATAAGTTGAATATAGATGCCTTCTAAGCCTAAAACTTCCTTCAGTATGCTTCCTTCAATGTTAATTCTGGGAGCAGTGTCCCTATGAAATCAGTGGCAAAACTTCTACAGATCCCCAAAAATTTAGGATCTGGCCTGCTGAGCCTTGTTTACAAGAAGAGAAAGTGAAATTTCTTGCACAAACACTTTATTTGTCAACAAATGTAGTTTTCAGTGGACATGATCTGTTTCCAAACTTTGCATTCCACCATAGTTTTGACTAATACAAATGAGAAAAAAAATTCAAGACTATCAACGTCGGTCATTGGTAGTGCTTTTGACATAGAAATGCTTCAATGTGCAAAACATTTTCTTTCCAAAGAGGCCTATATTTAATTGTAGAAAGATTTAAAATCATTTTCAAAATGAAACTGGAATTTCTGTCATTTTAAGTTAACTAGAAGCAAAGGTTTTTTTCAATTTTTTTGCATCAGCTAGCTAATCAGCAAATTTGTTATTTGCAGAGATCTCGAAAGTCACTTATAACTTTTTGCCAGCTTGTGTTAGTGTAAAGATAAATTCTAATTTAAGAACTCAAACTATGGAAAGGTTCTAGAATTGCAGATGAAAGGCACAATTTTAAAGCAACTTCTGGGTAGCTTTAAGAAACAGGTAGGTAAAAGTGTAGAGTTTAGGGAATGAACAACCTTCAAATGGCTTGAAGGCAATCTGTCCATCATGCTTCTTCTCTCTCAACCCATGTGTTCAGTAGCACTGTTAGAATAACTCAATAGTGATGATACTGTTTCACAACTGCATGGTGTCTTTTGTCCCAAAGTAAAGATTTCCAGAGCTTTCTACACCTATAGTATCTACTGGACTATAACCGCTTCTGGGCCGGGTTAGGAACCTGGGTTCTGCCTCTCAGTTGTCAGCTGAAGGGAGGTGGGAATGATGACCATGCTCAGCCGTGAGTCCCTACTCTTCGTTAAAGATGTGTCCCAAAATCACAGCCTGCAGTGCCAGCTCCACATAACTTTGTGTGGCTTCATTGGAGGAAACCTCTAATACCGAACTTTGGTTTGCTCTACACCAAGTTTTAGTTTGTTCTGCTCTAGCACCTGTAACACACACACACACACACAGAAGAGTTTAAAAGGAGTTTTCTCTGGTCTCTTGAAGGGGAAAATCCTGTTTACCTGCTCCCCTCCTATGCTAACTGGACCTGGCTCCTGAGCAGCACGAAGCACGTTATTTGTCCAGCCGGCCGCGGCTCTCTGCCTCGGAAGCGGTGGCACCTCGGTGGCGTCTCGGTGGCAAAGCCCTCTTGAATGAATGGCGGTTTCATTCCTGTCCCCATGGGTCACGCGGGCAGATTTCTGCAAATAGAAGTGCCATTGGTGCAGAGAGTTAGGGCAATAACTGTATGCACATGTAAAGTGAGATTGGATTTGAATTTGGGTGATTATAAAACTCATTATATTCTTCAGTTACAGTGAATGTGTGAGTTTTCTAGAAAGGTAGAGTAATTAAAAGGGAGAAGAGAGGGAGGAGGACAGAAAAAACGGTATAAACAACAGTAAAAATACTTTTAAAACACCCAGTATGATGCAGTAACGGATAAAAATATTTCAGTACCATTGTACATTTGGATAGTCACTATAAACGCTGTTGTTTTTAACGAGAGGACTAGGAATGGCTGAAGATATCTAAACATTAATTATAGTCCTGTTCAATTAGCCCATTAGCATATGATTATAGTTTAGAAAAGCATTTGAATATAGACAGAAACGGCAATTACTTTTTGCCAGCCTTTTTATTCACATTGGAATAAACAGACTTATGTAGAAACCTGCAGGCACAAAACAATTGAATATACTGTTTTCTGCATGATATAGTGCTACAGACTTTAACAGAGAACAATATCTGCTATATAGGTTTTTAAAATGAACCTCTGGGATTTCATAATGAATTGTTTCCCATTTTTAGCCTCACGGAAAATTCCTTAACTGTTTAATTCAAAGCCCCTCGGAATCAATGGAAATCTTTTCATTTACAGCATGGGGTTTTGAATAAGACCCTGAGTAACCATGAAATAAATGTAGCTCTATAAAAATGAAACAAAAATATGCTCAGAAATCATTTTGAAACTGTTCAAAATTTCATGGAGAATAAGATCTTTTCTCCAGGATTTTTAAATCGCCTTATGGACTTCATAGGCAGAAATGTAATTTCCTATCAGATGTGAGAAGCTGGCTCGAAACGTCTGTAGAAAAGATCTCGTTTTCTCTTCTTCTCTGTGAGACAGAATACCCATCTTTCTAGAGAGGAAACAGTAGTTCTGCAGGGATTAATTCTGAATTAGCTCCTTGCTACAAAAGATCCCCAAATGATAATGTTTACCTTTGCAAAATATGGTCAACATACATTATAGCTAGCGGTTTGAAACCCATCTCCGCTAGTCTGTGACTCGCTTTTAAAAAGGCGTTGGGGAATTTTGCCGCCGTTTCTTTCAAACGCAGGAGGCGCAGCGGTGCCACCGGCGACCTTCCTCGTGCTGGGGGGCTGCACCGCTTTTCACCTGGGTGTTTACTGGATGGAGCGTGCTCCCACTCACCTTCTCTCTGTTCATCCCCTGCGCACAAGTGCGCGCAGTGTGTGTGTGTAGGTATATGTGTATCTATATATCGGCATATTCTCCTTTTTTCGACGCGGAGAGACGTGCCCGGTCGCTCTCAGCTTAGAGAAGAGCCAGCAACCGTGCCCTCTGGGACAGACTGCAGTATCAGTCCCCAGAAGACTCGTCCCCCTTTCCCTGAGGTAAATCATTGGCGCATTGCTGCTTTTTCTGTGTAAGAGAAGGTGCTGAGACCATGTGCGGTGCTTAAGGGTTAACGGAGCCTGTCAGGGTCCCTTTCCCTCGCTCCGTTTCGCTGCTGCTCGGGGATCAGTAACAGCTCCGAGCTACACGATGCTAAACCAGACCGCGCTTTCCTGAAGAAAAGGGGGGGAAAAAAGGAGAAGGGGGGGGAAAAAAAAAAGCTAACTCACCACTGAACGAAGGAGCAGTTCAGTCTGGTTTAAAGGAAGGGGAGGGAAGGCGGGGTGGGGGGGGAGAACAGGGACTAACTTTGGAGAGAAAATAACAAACTTTAAGTCCTGAGGTCTTTCCTCTATATTGAAAAGGCAGTTTGGAAAGGAAATTAGTAAAAACAAACAGAAGGTGCCAAGGTTTCTTTATCATACCTGGAGTAGGATATGCTAAATTCCACCCGGGCTCGCGCTGGCGCCGGGTGCCGCGCTGGAAGGAACGGCACCCACGGCTCTGCAAAATGATCTATGGGGACTTCAAAGCCGCGGCAGCCCCGCGTGGCACAGGATGTGCGCAATTAATTATGTGATTTTTAAATGACAGGGGTTGGGAAAAGTAAAAATAAAATTAAAAAAAAAAATCGAAATGAGGACGAAGAAAAAGGTTTTTAAAGAAAATAATATATTAGGAAGAAAAAAAAAAAAAGGAATTGAGAAGTAAACTGAAAGGCCTTGTTGTCTGTCTGCCAAACAGCAGTAGCAGATAAGGCCTGGAGTTGCCGTGGAAACGCAGGCCTGTCGGAGCCAGAATCCAATTTCAGAAACCACAAAATCAACATAAACGTGTGCAAAAATAAAAAGGTTTGTTTGGCAAGTAATAAGTAGAAGGCTACCAATGTATAAAACAGATGAACCGGGGTGACCTTAGCCAACTTTAAGCCATAATAATGACGATGTCCCATGTCGATTTGGCACCTCCGAAATGAGCAGTAACAAGACACAGTCCATGCTGCCGACTGTTGTCATGCAACTGCTACCCTTTTTCTGCAATGCTGAATCCCCCCAGCTCCCTCCCCTTCCTTCTCGCTCCCTTTAAAAAAAAAAAAAAGGAATGAAGAAGGAGAAATCTTCGTTAAAACAGCGTTAACAATCTGATTTTAAACCTCTCAAAAGCTAAGGAATTCGGGACTCAGGCTTTAAATTCAGTTTTCACCTCTACATCGTACAGTACTGCTGTCTAAAGACATTACCTGTTAAAAAGTTATCTTCTCTTGCTCCCTCGTGATCTTATGTGACTAGAAAGGGCCAGGCCTTAAAACGTTTTCAAGTCCATTAAGACTATGCAGCTGCAACCTTTGCAATTTACCTGGAAAAACGCTATAGGACCTGGCTGAATATTACTATGTTATACAGACTCATCTTCTTCACTGAAAAGATACCAGGACACCTTTCCTCTTTATAGCAGACCAAGGGATTTCTTTGCTGAAGAGTTCTTTGGGATACTTGGACAACTTTGAGAACAAACTATAGAGGTCGTGGGTTAGATAGACTGGCAAATGTTTGCCACGTGGTGGTTATTTTTTTGGAAAGTAGGAGAAAAGTGTTCCCCCGTGGAAGTCTAGTGGTTCAGACATTCACTGGGTTTTGACAGATTCAGATCCCTGATTCGAACAGGTACACGGCAGCCCACGTAGGTGCTCTGGCTTTCCAGGCTGCCGTGGGATAAGCTGACCTCTCTGAGACGCGTTTCCAGCAGAAACTCGAGTCTGGACCTAAGAAATGTTTCCCAGCAAAAGCTGAGTTAAAATTGGTGCGTTCCTGGGGAAATTTTCTAATAAACTGTTAGGTCAAAAAATTCCTTCTCTGCATGAACGGCTTTCACACCCAGTGAGTAAGCGGACAGGATTTCACCCAACACGTGGTCTTTGTGCCTGCACATGGGATGTATGCAACAAGGTTTTAAGGGTCCTCCATAGTTAGAAACTCTCCCTGAATCCTGCTCTGCTCCTTTGAAGAACATTTCTTAATTTAATCTAGCCTAACAGCAGAAATATCTTGGAAGCAATTTTAAACAGTATCACTAGCTAGCTGGGAAAGCAGTAAGGGGAGACAAACAGTTGTATTTGTGGGGTAAAAAAACTCTATTTTATATTCGGTTGCACCCTTTCTGCCAGGAGTTCTTGTCAGTAATAAGGGACACATTCAATCTGTTATAAGGGTCCATCTCCAAAAGAGACAGCCCAATGGATCATGCCTCCCTTCAGAGTTGAGTATCTATTTCTGGATTTAGAAAATAGGACTATCATCTCTATCTTATCTTTTCTCTGAGTTTCTTTTTCCCACATGCTGAGACAGAGGGACAAGAAGCCATGGTGCTAGCTCCCTACTACTGCTGTCCTATCAAGAGCAGTGAATTCTCACCATCCTGCAGTGGTGGGGGACACAACACCAAACAGCTGCAAGCAGCACTCCTGCTCCTCTTTAGAATAAAGATCTTTTGCTCAACTGGTGGTCAAAGTTGCATGACATAACCATTGCTCTACCGTCCCCTGGGTACACCCAATGTAAATGACTATATTGGTGCTGACTAGGACACTACTTTGCACTGAAGTTATTCAACAAGGACAGCAAAATTTAGAGACCATTAGTCTTAGTAGGGTCTTCATTCCTAGCTCAGTATGTCCTATAATTTCTTCTTTCAGCAAAAGCCTTAATTAGATCTTAACCTGTCCTTTTTCAGGCAAAATGCAATATTGGTCATCTTTTAACTTCACTGGAAGTTTAGATGTTCATCTGCACAATGCATTGAATACGATATGTAGTTAAATCGCTGAGTACATAAAGTTTCTAATGTGGGTGAACAAAAGTGAAATGTATTTGTATTTCACAAAAGAGTTTAAATGATTGGGTGAGGAGAGGTGGCTGTAACACACACGCCACCGTTGAGCTGTCAGGCCCAGGGTTTTGCAAGGTGAAGACCTGATAATCCTCTGCACTTTGTACTGACTTGCACTTTCACTTTGTGCTAATCTTGTCTTGCTTCCGACAGTAGCTTGTGGGCAAAATGTCCAACGGCTTCTTCAAACACTGTCATTCATAACTTAAAGATTGCAGGTATACAACCATATGGCCTTTAAATTATTCCAAGGAAAGGGCAGAAAATTGATGTGGAGGGTGTGGGAATAACGTGTTCTCATGATTTGCGTGTCCCCAGTTCTTTTGCTTTATTTGTGCTCTCATCTAACAGAGTAGCAAACTTGTCCTTCTTTAGCCCTTACTCTGGAAGCTTCAGTTCCTGTTTTACCCAAAAATGTACTGATTTTCTGCTCTTTTTTAAACTGCTAGTCAGCAAGTTTGAGAGCTGGTTCACTGCAGACATCTAGGGACTGTTACCTGCTCTGAGGATGGCTTTGTTAGGAAAAAGCCTCATGACTGAAGTAGAGAGGAATCAGAAGGAAAGAGATGGGAGGAAAAACTAAGCAGAGAAATATAAGAACATCCCTCATTTATACAAAAGTAATTTGCGCTTTCAGCTAAATTCACTACGGCTCTTCAGTTGCTTTGACAGAAAAGCATTTCTGTGTCACTGAGCAAGCTCAATAAGAAGTAGTGCCAGCATGGGGTTTTCATGTCTCGCTGCATGGGGACCCCGCGTGCTCAATGCGCTTTGACCCTGTGAGCTGCGGGGACGGAGCTTAGCTTGGCATGTTTTCTGTCCACGCTTTCAGGAGACTTGCTCTGTCAGCTAAACCCAAAGCTAAAGTAGCTCATTTGCCATCCGCAGTCCAGATCTGTCCCCTGTCCTCTAATGTCCCTGACAAATGGACCTGTGCCAAATTCCCACACTCTGATCCTATGTAGCCCTCCAGAGCAAAAATCGGGAGGGTTTTTTCTTGTTACCTGGATGTTGCAGGCTTTTTGAAGCGTTTGCAGCTTGAGCTTTTCCTTTTTTAATGTCTTTGCTTTTGACTGAGCAAGCCGAAGCAGTTTACAAAATGTGACAAAAAGAAAGAGGCACACTCTAGTACGCGCAGTCTGGGTTATGCTAGCGGAGGGATGATCTTGTAGTAGGCGCGGAAGCTTGGGAATAAAGAGGACTGTGTTCCACTCCCGCGGCTGCCAGCAGTTCGCTGTGTGACAGCGCGCGAGTTATTTCAGCCTCTACTTTCCAAAGTGCTCACAGGCTTGGATGCGTTATTTTCTGTATGGTCAGTGTGGCTTACTTTGCATTAGGAAGGGCCTGGCTCTCAGACGCTATTAGAGTCTGCAGATGTAGCTCCTTTCCCTATGAGCTGGGGAAAGTAGATGCTAGTTATCCACAGGCAGACACCAAAAATTAGTGACAGCTCCTCTGCCTAGGTATATAATTTGGGAAAAGATAATTACTCCTTCTCTCTTGCACATCTGCACCAGGCCAAATATAATGAAGCCCTATATTTTAACGGGCAGTAATGTTTAATATTTGACATTAGGTAAATATACTTTGCTTGCCGTTAGAATAATTTCATACAGATTTAGGGTGGAGCTTTGAAAAGCTCCTGGGTAATGGAGTACAAATTCAACTGCACTCAAGGCTTATACTGTTTTGAAAGTCCCACCCGTAATCTCTGATCGTTAGAAACTCTTACCAGCCAGTAAATCTCAACCACTGTACTTTCAATAACGGTTATACCAAAAAACCGTAACACCTGGGGTCAAAGATTTTGACGTGACACGGTAGTTTCTGAGGACAAGGGGTGATGTCACCAGTCCAATATTGTGGCCTCTGCTGCAGGGTACAGAGACGGGGGGGAACAGAAAGGGAAAATTTCTGTTTATGCAAAGACCTTGGCAATTCAGAGCAATGGAAAAGGACAGAGAGAGAAAAAGTATATAGTTGAAATGTAAATAGCAGTTTTTATGAAATATGTCTCCAAGTCAGTCCATGCCCAAAAAAGTGCTTGAAAAATATCTGGCTATATTGTAATGTGTCTTTTTTTTTTTTTTTTTTTAAGTACTTTACCAGTCTATCTATGGTAGCTCAGTGGATGACAGCAACAGTGCTGTGTTTAAAATGATAGATATTTTAGAATGAAACTATAAATCTTTACAGACTTACAATCTACTTCCTTTTAAAAAATATGGGTAATGGCAATGGAAATTTACAATAGTAAAGAAAACTAGTGTTGCTTATTTTCAGTCTTGATGCAGCAAATACGCATCGGCCTAATTTAAGCAGGTGATTCTCTTCATTGACATAATGTCTAGCAAAGGCGTTGATCGGGAATGACCCATGAAATGTGTTTATGGAAAGAATATACTACTGATCCAGCTGATCTCATCAAGGAGAAGCACCTTAGAAACACCACATAGTGTTTAGGAATACTTTAGCTTGATGTTAGCTAGGATAAAAGAGAGGAAACACCGTTAGAAATGATAAGGAATTTATTAAATAGGGTAGATTAAAAAAAATAGTGGGAGATTTTCAAGCATCTAATTGGGTTTTATGAAGGGAGTTTTTGGACTGCAGCAACTTCCAAGGTC